CCCCTCCTCTGTGTTGGACAAACTTGTAGTACAGAATGAAGCCATGAGGATAATTCTTGGTACCCCAAGATGCACAAGAATCATCAACATGAGGGAAGAACTGAGGCTTCCAACCATACTAGAGAGAATCATGCAAATCAACACGACCTTTTGCCTTAAAGTCATGAGAGACCCTACATCTTCTGCATTGCTCAGACAAATTATTTAATGCTGTTAACACCCTATTGACTGGTGCCGACATACCAACTCGCTCCTTTAATGATAAATGGCTCAGCAAAAATGCTTACAATCTCATTAAACTCAACATTCCTTTTAAGTGCAATCTACCTGTCTCTGATATTCCTTTTTATCTGTACCCCACCATTCAAGTATCATACATACCTGTCACTAAGAAAAGTAATGAGAATCTTGCTCTTCTCAAAGCTGTCACACTCGAAACAATTGCCTCCTCCATTGATAATTTAAGATCTCACGAGCACTGTGTCTACACCGACGGCTCAGTCCAATCTTCTACTGGACGGACTGCACCAGCATGTAGGTTTAATAGAAATAATATTTGCCCAAAGACTGTCAGTGTCAGGTTAAACAACTGGCTGACCACCAAACAAGCAGAACTAGTGGCATTACAAGTACAGTAGCTACTAATATATTAAAAAACATTGGAGGTGGAATAATATTTTGTGATTCAAAGTCTGCTCTTCAAGCAACTGAAAACTTCTCCTGGAAGATCGACAGCAAGAACTTCGTACTACAAATTATAAACGACCTAATCGCTGCACAGAGTAAAGGGTTTTGAATCTCCTTTGTATGGATACCATCACACACAAATATAACCCATCATAATGAGACAGACATTGCAGCCAAATTGGTGTGTAACAAAGATGAAATTGAATTAGATCTAGATATCCCCATCTCTACTGTCAAAACTATATTGTTCCCAACACTTAGGTCTGATTGGAAAGAAATTACCGATTCCCAATGACCTGAAAACACCAATATAAAAAGCTATGATTTGTTCAGATCTGAAATCTATATCTATGGGCAGCACAAAGCGTCCACCAGACTATGCGCCACAATGTGTGCAAACTCTGAGCAGGAACTGTGGCATGATCTCCCACACTACATCACTCAATGCCCAGTTATTAGACCTTTCAGACCCGTTGGCATGATGTACTTGTCGCTTTGCAATTACTTTATTCACTCTCGTTTTCTTGAAGATAGCCTCATATTGCAACTAGATGTACAAAATTGCACCCAAAATTTGCCAGTGCAGGCTACTAAACATATGGCCCTGTTTGACTAACCATCCTGGGAGATGGGGACTTTTAGTTACCTTATTGTTATTACCTTACCTTTTGTTACCTTATTCACTCTTGTGTTGTTGATATCCTCATAATGCACCCGGAGTCTGCCAGTGCAGACTGCTTATCACGTGTCTCTGTATGACTAACCATCTTGTGTGATGGAGATTTTTTAGCATCCCGTAGCTTAACCCTTAAACTGCGCATGGCGTATATATACGCCCTGAGTAACATGTCCTATGGTGCGCATGGCGTATATATACGCCATAGGGTGCCAGGCCTGATTCAAATGGCCCGCGGCTACACGGGGTTCACAGTAGCTTCCTCAGGGCTCTTGTAAACAGATGCCATTTTAAAAAAAAATCATGGGCAATATTCTCAGGTGTGAGAGGCACAGTACTGTTGGAGCAACCAAGGCCGGCGCACGCAGCATGAGCGAACAGCATTGATGTTCAGCTTGTGACCACAGCATCGCCGAAAAATGTCAAAATAAATATATAATTGTTATTATTTAGCGATGACAATATTACAGATGACCAATGACTGATATAAATAACCAGGGTTGTGATAATAGCAGGATTGTTGTAATAATTAGCGCTGTGGGAGGAGTGATGCTGAGAGACGGAGGGAGACAGCATCGTTTACTGACTGTGTGGCCACCTGTTATTGTTTGCATTCACCATACCAGGTCAGTGGTTCTCTATGGTGAACACAAATGTAGATACTTATATATAATGTGTGTATTAGTGTAATAACAGCAAAAGGATTATGCTGGGAGGAGCCATATGGGTGACGGAGGTGACGTCGTCTGCACGATTTGTCTAGCTGTCTAGAGGGTGGCCATTATGCTCTTTGGGCGCACTACAAGCTTAGGTGTACAGTTACGGTGCATAAAACATATAGATACTTATATATAATATGTGTATATAGGGTAATAACACTGCAAAAGGTATTGTTAGGGGAGAAAGTTTAGTGCGTGTGACCTTGAAAGAGTGAGGGAGCCTCCAGCCGCCATCTGTGTATAGCGACGACTCTTAGTGCCTGAACTAACTATATCAACTTAGCTGTACAGTTGTGGTGAACAAAATATACTCATACTTATATATAACGTCTGTATATAGTGTAATAACACCACAACTGGTATTGTTGGGGGAGAAAGTTTAGTGCGTGTGTTGAGGGAGTGGCAGCGAGTGGTTGGCTGGTGTGTGGCGGTAACTCCTCGTTGCTTTTCGACTCTCAATACCAACTTAGTGGTTCGTTATGGTGACCAAAACATGCCAATACTTATATATAACCTGTGTATAGAGTGTAATAGCAGCAAAACTATTTGTTTATTGTTTTAAAAACATAATAATTGAATCACTAATATGCACATCATACTTTTGAGTATAGCGATTATTAACCACTTTTATTATATAAATATATTACAATACACACTATTGAATAATATTACTGCAAAAAACTAAGAAAAAATCAATCGGAGACATTGAAACAATTAGGTAATAATATCTTTGTGGCAACTCCCATCTGTCAACGCGGGTGACGCTGACCGGGTCTGACGACCGCTCTGTCAACGCCCACTTTTTGCCAGACTTCCTCGGTCAATTGCGCCCAAAATATGTCACCTACGATTTTTTTTTTTTTTTTTTTCCGTGCTCAGGGGACACAAATTAACATGTTTAGAAGACGAAAAAAAAATTTTGAATTTTTTTTTTCTTGCGCACAGGGGTGTAAATGTCCCAAGGACCCCTGAGCAGTGTAAGGGTTAAAGAACAAATTCACAAGGGCCGTGACGAGAATTCGAACCTGTGTCTGAGAGCATCCCAGACGCTGCCTTAATCGACTAAGCTACGACATGGTCAAAAGGAGTTAAAACCGAAGTTCTACTGAACTTAATGGATCCTGCAGCCTCTCCGAGGCACAAACCAGGGTTTTACACAACTCCTCCCATGCACTCGAGCTATGTCAATAGGCCGTTCTCCCTCTTCGCCCTTACTTCATTACATTTGTGCCTCGGAGAGGTTGCAGGATCCAGTAAGTTCAGTAGAACTTCGGTTTTAACTCCTTTTTAACAATGTCATAGCTCAGTTGATTAAGGCAGCGTCTGGGATGCTCTCGGACGCAGGTTCGAATCCTCGTCATGGCCCTTGTGGATTTGTTCATTTGAAGCATCACGGAATTGTGATTTCTGTGTGTAATCACATAGCTAGCTTTTTGACACACTGTACTCCCCTTCATATAGTCTAGGGTAGCTGCACAAATGCAAATGTACCTAATATATTAATAAAAAACAAAAACAAAAATTTGTGATATTAAATTTTTGAGACATTGGGGGATGGTGAAGAGAAGGGGCAGAGGGTGGAGGAGGGGGAACAGGAGAGGTGAGAGAGGGAAGAGATGGGTAAGAGGGGAGGGGAGCGAGACCCAAGCCCTACTTGGTACCCCCTCTAGTTATGTATAATGCATTAGGCCTACCATTTTCCTCAAACCCTTAAGAATCATTCCAAAGAATAAACAAATAAACCAACCCTTAGACAGCGGTCATCATTATACAGTATGTCGAGACACAGGGTAATGTGGTTATCATTATACAGTATGATTATTTTAACAATTATTGTCTGGGTTTCACATGTATGATGCAAATAAGGATATAATTAGGTCTTTAATATGATAACGCATGTCATGCATTATCATCAAGCACATGTCATGTGCTATAAGATGATAACGACGATAACCCGTCTATGTGGATGTAATGGCATTTAGCTTGATGCTTGAAAAAATCTTGTTAACATTTCATGATTACAAATGTACTTATCATCGTGAATGTTACTACCAGAATACAGTCATCACACGACAATTTAAACAATGTCTGGATTTCACATGCACGATGCAAATATGGATATAATAGCTCTCTATGAATTTAAACAAAGAGAAACAAATTATAAAACAATCTGTGAAAAATTGGAGGAAAAAGCAGGAAGCGTCAGCAAAGTAGAGCACTGAGTGTAGATAGGCGCTAGAAATGCACAGCTTTGCAGAGTGCCACCACCCAGTGAAACAATAAATGTTGACTTATTTTTGTGTTTTCTTACACTTTACAGAATTACAGTGGAACCTCGAGTGACAAGCGCCTCAATTTACGAGCATTTTGAATAACGAGCGTGCCGATCGCCGACAATTTGTCTCGATTGGCGAGCGTTCGTTTGATTAATGAGAAAACCACATGGTGCGTTCCCGCTGCTTCTCACACATTCTCAGACGCCTCCGACGATGCAAATAAATGATTTTTTTTGTTTAAAGATGCTAATGATGCTGGGATGTAAAGAGGTGACTGCTGTGATGTTGCAAAGCATTGATTTTTTTGTAGAATTAATGTTTTTCAGTGGTGGAACGGATTATTTTTATTTCTAATACTTTAAATGGGGAAATTTGTTTTGAAAGACAAAAATTTCACACGACGAGCTCGATGCCGGAATGGGTTAAATTCGTTAATCGACGTTCCACTGTATTATTTGTATGCAATGAAAAATAATTTTTTTGAATTTTTTGCTTACATACTCGCTCACAGACAATGTGACCATTTCTAGAAAGCTAGTGTCAAAGGGTTACTATAGTACAGTACCTACAAAATCAATGTTCTTCTCAAACATTTGTTGTTATTAAGACTGAAATTCTTAGCAGATTTATACATGAACTTACAGTGAGTTGAAGAATTTGCTCATGTGCATTGGTGGGGTGCTGCCAGACTGGCGTCACCTCGGCTGTCAGCTCCACCCTGAAGCCCACATCCTTGGTGGTGGACACAGGCAGCGGCTGTGGCTCGTTCAGCAACACTGATGTCTCGTACCCGTATATATACAGGGTACCCACCTCAAATTGGCGTGTGTATGCTGAAAATAGAGAAATGTGATAACATTTTAGAAATACTGTAGCACAAATATCGGCATACTGCAAGACTGTAAAGACAACCGAAATTGTTTAGTCATGGTAGGGAGCCGGTCGGCTGAGCGGACAGCACGCTGGACTTGTGATCCTGTGGTCCTGGGTTCGATCCCAGGCACCGGCGAGAAACAATGGGCAGAGCTTCTTTCACCCTATGTCCCTGTTACCTAGCAGTAAAATAGGTACCTGGGTGTTAGTCAGCTGTCACGGGCTGCTTCCTGGGGGTGGAGGCCTGGTCGAGGACCGGGCCGCGGGGACACTAAAAGCCCCGAAAACATCTCAAGATAACCTCAAGATGGTGAATGACAGTAGGTAATTGAGAGTATTCAAGTGAAAACTTTGGTAGAAGGAGAAGAAGGATGAAAAGATGATGGGCAGACATGGTGAGAGTGAGAGTACAGATAATAGGGGTGGGAAATAAAGCTAAGAGGCATCAGTTTGTGAAGAATAAATGTTGGTTGTATAGTTGTATGAACACACAAGTCCATACTCCCAGGTCAGGGGCGGTGAACCTTTTTTGAGAGCGGCAATATTGGTAATAATCTAATACAAAAAAATGATCTCGCATGCCATGGGAATGTTGAGCCAGATATTATGATTATTATATTTGTATTTTAGCATTTTTTTAAGGAAGATCAAAATACTTGAATGAATTCTTAAACAAGTCTGTTCAGGTAACCAATAACTCTTATGAATTGCTTTATATGGTACAGATATTGGAAATTCATGTTTTCATTAAATACATTAGTAATTCCCAATTAGTAAAATTAATGAATTATAACAATAATACAGCAATTAACTTTTTAAAGAAGATGAAGTCTTGTTGCTCATTTATATGTGCAGTATGCTTATTATTTTACCACTAACAAAAGTATACCGAGATTGAAATAAATTAAAGATTTTTAGAAAGCTTGGAAAGAAACAAAATTAAAGTTTTAGAAAGAAACAAAATTATTACTATTAATGTTTTTAACAAGACAACTGAGAAATAACAATTTATGAATAATATTTTACCTAATAAGTAATAAGAAATAAGCTTTGGTTCATATTATCAAACCTGAAAAAGTGAGAGTAAATAATGTTATTTTACAGAGATAAGTTTTGTTGCCACACCAACAATGATATTTTATATCAGGCTTGTATTTGGTTGCTATGCATGCAGCACTAGTGTCATTGTTAGTAAGTCTGCTCCTATAATTAGACATAAATTTCCTCAATGAAAACAATGAATCGTATGGACACAGTATATCAATGAAAATGCTGTTAAAATTGCTAATGCGAAAGTTTCAAACATAAAAGTTTCAGGAGTGGAATTTGAGTTTCAAAACCTCATTTTCTGCATTAAACTAGTCATTCTGTAACTGATCTCTTTCAATATCTTCTAGTTCAGCTCTTATAGCAACAAATTTTTGCCTCCAAACTGACTGATCAGTTTTGTTAATCAGTTATATCACCAAATTTTTTTAATTTAGTAAATCTTAAAGAAAACTGCTCAGCAATTGATGATGCTCAAAAATTACATTTGAGGGCTCTGAATATCTGCTTTCTCGTGAATTTTAAAATTTGTCATGTGCTATTGTAGGTTTGTGAAATACAATACAGTATTTAGAAATGTTATTGTCGACAACACATTCAAAAGTTCTGAATTTGATTTGAAAGGCTTTTAAGTTATCAAACCTTAAAAATATTTGGCAAGATGCCTGTAATTTGGTGTTCAGGTCATATAAATGTGAGAATTCTGTAGAAAAACAATCTACAAATCCACATATCAAATAATATTAAAAAAAATTAATTCATCAGAAAGATAAATTTTATTCAAAATCATTTAATCCAACAAGTCGTTGAAGGACAGAACCTCTACCAAGCCAATGAGCATTGTTGTACACAGATAGTACTGTAAACACACAATTCACCTCGCTCAGTTAATTCTAAAATTGTTTTTTCTGGGGGAGCCTCTTGTGGCTCCCTAAAGCTACTATCTCTGATAGTGTGTCATAATAATAGGCCCCATCAGTCGTCGAGTTCAATAGACATACAGTACTGGGTCTATAGCTGCGTGTGACAAGAGCCAGAATCTGGCCTCTAACAAAGGTGGCATTCAAGTATTAAGCTATTTATGCATGCCACCCACCGGGAAAGGCATCCAGAAAGTCAGTGAAACAAAACAAATCATTACAGGCTTCAAGAGAGATCGTATTCTCGAGAATCACAAAGAACTCCCCAAACCTTGTAAACAACCTATCGAGAACTTAACGAAACTAGTACCAGCTCATTTGCCCCACTTTCCCCACTTATTTCGGGGAAAAAGGTTGGCAGCCTACAATCGGTGGGCTGCTCTACCCTCAGTTCTATCTGATAGTAGCGGGAGTCGAGCCGACCCCCCTGTTGCTCTGGCTCCAGCCTCTGCTTTCAGCTAAGTGGTTGTTTTTGGCCTTGTGGATGTTCCTGTACATTTTCATGTAGTGTTAGCCAAGAATTAAGAGTGCATGCAGTTGCATGCACTCAGGTTTATTTTCCTTGTGCACTCTTTAGTGTTTACCTTGTACTGGGATATCTTCCCTGGAGTGTTCCGGGATCGCTTCCTTAGAGGGCCTCCTTACTTGTGGTGGCCCTTGCTCTAGGCAAGTCAGTTGTCTTTGGCGTTCTGCCTGTCCTCAGGTAGGGAGTGATTTTGGCTG